TGGGATGCGATTCCCCGGATCCCCAAGGCACTTAAAGGCCTGGCGCCTATAGCGGACCTGCCTGCTCCGGACGTGCCTGCAGCACCAGCTGCTGCTGCCGCCGCTCTGCCTGCGGCACCGCCTGTTGCTGCTGCCGCTCTACCCGCGGCACCACCTACTGGTGCTGCCGCCGCTCTGCCCGCGGCACCGCCTGCTGCAGCTTCCGCCGCTTTGCCAGCGGCACCGCCTGTCCAGCCTGACCCGCCTGTCCTGCCTGACCCGCCTGCGGTCCCTGCAGTTGCCACCGCTCTGCCTGGGGTCCCTGCAGCTGCCGCCGCTCTGCTTGCGGCCATGGTTCTCAACAGGAAAAGGGTGGATTGCTCCCTGCAGGTTGGGGATAAGCTGCTGCCTCAAATGGGGGAGTTCAAATGTGTCTGTGTTTGTTCACAAGTGAGGGAAGAATGGAGCAGGAGACTGACAGGCAGATTGGTGCAGCATCAGCAGTTATGCAGACATTATACTGGCTTTTCATTGTAAGAGAGAGCTGAGTCAAAAGGTGAAACTCTCAATTTACTGGTCAATCTATGTTTGAACCCTCACCTAAGGTCACAAGCTCTGGGTAGTGACAGAAAGAATGAGACCACGGAAATAAGCTTCCTTTGCAGTGTGTCTGGGTTCAGCCTTAGAGGTGGCTGGGGAGAGGATGGTCTGAGCATCTCTGCTCAAACCACCATGACCTGGACCCAGATAAGCAGTGGGAAATTGATGAATGGAAACTGTGGTTCTACTTCCACAAGGTCATTTCAATTATTACTACAAAGATGACCATATCACAGCCATAGCTACAGCAGTGCTCTGCTCTGAGGAATGGCAGATTCTGATTATCACACTGTGATTTCAGGGGCCTGTTAGTCTGGTGTGCTGGGGCCGCTCTAATCTAAGCAGAGGGTGGGTGAGCTCTTACCCAGAAGGCCCTGCTTTCTCCTCCTGACAGTTGCTGTATGTGGGCGACTCTCTGAGGTGCCCTGTGGAGTGCTAGGATCACAGGACATCAGGAGTCTTGGGTGCCCCCCCCCACGGTCACTTCATGGCTATTTTTTCAGTTGTGCCGTATTCCCATCTCTCCTAATATCTCTCCCAGAGTTCCTCTGCACCTCCTGCTCCATAGGTGGGCAGGCACAAACATAACAGACCATAAAAAGAACCCTCTCATGTTCTGGTGTCCCATATCTTGTTTGTCGCAGAACAAAATGTGCTAACAGCAAACCAACTCTAACCCCAGGGACGCCAATTCAGTTGTAGGTGGCTACAGTCTCTTATAAATTCAGCTGCTGCTGTGATCCAGCTGGATAAACAGGTTACAGAAAGTGACACAAGCAGATCCTGTAACACTACTTATGTGTCTGCTGAGCAAATAAATAGTGCATGTGCAAAATACCATTGCAAGAAAAATAGTAAAGATGTCCCAATGTTCTTTATTGATCATTTGAATACAGATAGTTTTAGCAAATTATGATTATCTGGGAAGTCAGGGACAGAATGGGTGGTTCTAAGGAAGTAACTGAATTTATAGTGGCCAGAGAAGTGACTGAGTTCATCCTTGTTTCAGGTTCATCACACTCCATTCTCACCACACCTATATACAGTGCTTGGTTGGGAAGTGTTTTTTGGGGTATGATGGGAAGTAAAGAACTGTCCTTAATTTATATTTGAGCAACCTTTCATTACCCAGTATATTTCTACACTGTATTACTTCATATTATTTTGCTGTCCATACATCTTTGTTTTGCTAAAACAGGTCTCTGCAAGCGGATTCCTTATATCATAATGTTACTGTGAAGTGACACAGTCACATGACTTTTTGGAATCCAGTTTCTGCGTCTCAACAGCACCCCCTACTGTGCAGGAATGAGCCCCAATAAGAAACAGATGTCTGCTGCATCCCTCAGATGAGTGAAAACAATGGAAAACTTTCACATTAAAAGCTAAGTATCATTTAGGAGACAGTCTGGGAGTGTTTGCAACCCAGTGTTCGGCCACCTGCTTGCTTAATATTTCCTTAATACTTTCAATGATATAGTATATTTGTTTTCTATCACTATTTAGAAGTGAAGTAATTGTGTCGCCTGCAGTAATGGGGGTTCAATTTCCACCTCCTTTCCTTGTGCCTTTCTTCCACATACTCTGGTTTAAATAAATGTTGTGACTTAAAGATACTGATCCTTTTCCTGACTGCTTCGAACCCAGCTGCTCCGGGACTGTGTTGAAGATGGTGGTGAGCAACACTGGGGAACCACAGGGAACCTTCTTGTCCCCCTTCCTGTTTAAACTATACACATTGGACTTCCAGTACAGCAACAGTTTTTGCCATCTACAGAATTTCTCTGATGACTCCTCCACTCTAGGATTGCATCAGTAATGGCGATAAGTGAAGTATAAAGGACCAGTTAAGGACTATGTCATGTCATGCAGAGAGAACAATCTGCAGCTGAACATCAGCAAGGCAAAACACATTTTCACACCAAAGTTCTAGAACAGAATCTGGTCCCTGTTTACAGTACAAGTTTCTGGGCCATCTTGACCTAGAAATTTTATAGCTCCTGACCATGCACTTCCATGTGCAGCTTTAACAATGTACAACAGAAACTGAGACTTTATGCTAAATAAGCATGGAAGCTGTAAAAAGCTTGTAGGTTAAACACAATTTCATATGAAACTACACCATCCCCCCAATACAATGGAGGATAAGCAAGTCATTGTGTTAGTTATTTGGTAGTTTTTGGGGGTATCAAAATGAGACAGAACCTTTTATTTATATTTTATTTATACGACCCATGACATGTTTATGATTATTATTAAATCTGACCAGCAGATATTTCATTTTCCACAGAATAAAAAACAATGTAACATTATCTTCCTAATTAGCACTGGCAAGTTTCACTGCTGGCACTGGCGATATTAGACAAAAGTATATTGGTTAGCGAGCAAATCTTCTGATCACAATTAACAATTACAATGCCGAACTGCATTCTGTGCATGTTACAACAGCATGGCTCCATAGTAGAATATGTATATGTGATAAATACAGTGCCTGACAAAAGTCTTGTCGCTTAACCAAGTTGTAGGAACAACAAATAATAACTTGACCTGTAG